TATGTGTGTGTGTGTGTGTGTGTGTGTGTGTGTGTGTGTGTGTGTGTGTGTGTGTGCGTGCGTGCGTGCGTGCGTGCGTGCGTGCGTGCGTGCGTGCGTGCGTGCGTGCGTGCGTGCGTGCGTGCGTGCGTGCGTGCGTGCGTGCGTGCGTGCGGGCGCACTTCTATCAGACTGAAAGCAAAAGGATTGACAGGAATCAGAATTCCTTTAATGGCACGCCATGGTGGAATTCACATTAACACAACAGCATAAAGTGCAGATAAAGAACAGAGAATAGACTTACATATTAAAAAATAAGAATAAATGTTATTAATAATAAAAACACAGTAAATAAACCCCATGCCATGTTCCACAGAGACATCACAGCGATGGTGTTCTGCTCCCAGCTGGACGCTCTGATCACTGCGTCTGAGGAGCTCTCCATCAGAGTCTGGGGTCCGGACTGGGACCTTCGGATGGCTTTTGTTGGACATAATGGTAACGTCTTAACTCTCTGACTCATTTGACTTGAATTGGGTCGTTATGGGGACTCGTAGTGACGAAGAAGCTGCTTGGTAGTAAGTCAATATCTGATGGAATCGATCAGCCATTAGTTTTTACTTTAATTTATTTTCCTTATTTACTTCTTTATTTTATAGGATTTATGAATTGTGTTTTATTGCCTCCTTTATCATTACTTATTTTACCACTCCTTCTACCTCCTTGTGTCCCTTGAACTGTTATATTATATTGTTGTGCTAAATGTGTGCAAGTTTTACCATCTGACCTGAAGCTTTCATTTGTGCTGTTAAAGCACTTTGAGCTGCACTTGGTCTACGAGGAGAGCAGCTCCAATAGAGCTTTATAATATCATTTTAAATGTAAATTGCATCTTTAATTGTATTCATCTGTGCTGTCCTGTTTTTCAATCTCACTCTTAAACTCCTGAATGTCCCCACGGGGATTGATGAAGGTCCATCTGATCTTATCTTTAAAACAATGCAAATCAAAGGGTGCAAAGCCAAAGGAAAGAGGAGCTTCTTTACAATACACATGTTTATTTATTTATTTTACATTTGAGTTTATTTCTTTCTTCCCAGGTGTGGTGAGCTCTCTGTTCTTCTGCCCGGCGGCCAGCATGCTGCTCTCAGCCTCTCAGGATTGTACGATCCAGTGCTGGAGCCTCACGGACGGAGATGTGGTGGAGTGCGTCCACGTGGAGCAGGAAGCCCCTCCGCTGTGTATACGAGGAAATAAAAAGGGAGATACCTTCTTCTCGTTCTCTCGGCAGGGCGTGGACGTTTGGAGCGTCAGATCCCTGTACACCCTGCACTGTGCACTCAGAGGAGCTCCTCTGAGGCAGATCCTAACATCGCCCGTTCCTGCTCCTTACCCCAAACGAGTGCTGTGTCTGAGCGGAGACAGTGACATCACGCTGGTGGCTGCAGAAACAGGAGCAGTGTTGACTTCTTTCAGAGCCCAGCAGAGGCTCCTGTGTGCTGACTACTGCCTGCAGAGAGAGACCCTGCTGGCTCTGACACACACAGGCACAGTGCTGCAGGCCAGCACGCTCACTAACCCCATCTCTGTGATGCAGGAGTGGCAGGGCAGAGGTCAGGGGGTTTGGAGGCGTAAAGATCATGTGACCGAGAAAGACGCTCAGACTCTGCCCCCCCCCGGCCCCGCACAATGCCTGGTTCTCTACAGCTGTGTGTCTGAAACACAAGAAGCTGTGGAGGAGTGGAGGAGTATGCAGCAGAGGAGAGGAAGCTCCCACAGGAAGACAGCAAATCTAGACGATGACGAGAACAAGTGAGCACTTTATCTGGCTTTAAAGAGTCCTCTCCTGCTGATGTTCAGGTGTATATCAGTGTGTAGTGTCTCTACTTTAAAGAGTCCTCTCCTGCTGATGTTCAGGTGTATATCAGTATGTAGTGTCTCTACTTTAAAGAGTCCTCTCCTGCTGATGTTCAGGTGTATATCAGTATGTAGTGTCTCTACTTTAAAGAGTCCTCTCCTGCTGATGTTCAGGTGTATATCAG